TTGGAACAGAGTTTTTTTCAGGTGGGGAGGAGGAGTAGAATGTCTCACTCCTTAGCATCAGAGCGTGTTAATATTAGGCAACTGGCAGTTGGAACAGAGTTTTTTTCAGGTGGGGAGGGGGAGTAGAATGTCTCACTCCTTAGCATCAGAGCGTATTAATATGAGGCAACTGGCAGTTGGAACAGAGTTCTTTTCAGGTGGGGAGGGGGAGTAGAATGTCTAACTCCTTAGCACCAGAGTGTATTAATACAAGGCAACTGGCAGTTGGAACGGAGTTCTTTTCAGGTGGGGAGGGGGAGTAGAATGTCTAACTCCTTAGCATCAGAGTGTATTAATACAAGGCAACTGGCAGTTGGAACGGAGTTCTTTTCAGGTGGGGAGGGGGAGTAGAATGTCTAACTCCTTAGCACCAGAGTGTATTAATATAAGGCAACTGGCAGTTGGAACGGAGTTCTTTTCAGGTGGGGAGGGGGAGTAGAATGTCTAACTCCTTAGCACCAGAGTGTATTAATATAAGGCAACTGGCAGTTGGAACGGAGTTCTTTTCAGGTGGGGAGGGGAGTAGAACTCCTTAGAATCTTTCTTACTGTATAAGAAATACTAATGATCTGATGGTTATTTCGAAAAATCCTTTTTTAGCAAGCACCTAGAAGTCGAGGGGAACATACGTGTCAAATTTTAAGTTTGTAGGCTTTACGGTTGTGGAGATTTCGTGATGAGTGAATGGTACTTGGCTTTTATATCTACAGATTTAAGACAGGAGGCATCGCAACAGGCAAGGCTTTCTATTTCTCTATTTCACACCTCTCGAGCTGTCACTTTGATCTACACCTTTACAGCAGTTAATAAACAGAGTCAAAATACACTTTGGACCGGTTTCATCTGCCCTTCCCTCCAGCAATTTACAACTTCTAATTTTATTCCTGAGCAACATCTCTTTTTCCCCCCCCATTGCTGGATTGATGGCTTCTCAACTCTTTGCCAACGATGGGAAATTTCAGTTGATTCATTTTTTTTCATAAGGACTTGAAGGAATAACATCTCCTTTGAGTCAAATTCAACTCCCGGGGCCTTGACGGATGTGTCCACGTCGTGTTCTTGGCAACAACGGAGAAACGGTTGCCAGATTTGTTTTTGTGGGGGCCGTGTGTGTTCTACCTTTCGTGATTTTGAGCACCGCCCCCTAGGGTTGGGAACAACTAGCACATATGTGTGAGGGGAACCTTTAACTTTACCTTTGACAACCAAGAGAATTCAAGAGGAGTTGGAACTTAATCTGTTTGTGGCAACATAATAACTCTAGGCTGATTGCTCTCTTGATTCCACTGGCTCTGCCTCTCCTTCTGTTACTCTAATGCTATTTCTCCCTCTCTCTTTCTCTCTTGCCCTGGGTAGGATTCTGGCTACAGCTGGGACCCAGTTTGACCTTCGAACGCTGAGAGCCGTCCGTGTGCTGAGACCCCTGAAACTTGTCTCAGGAATCCCAAGTAAGTGGAAGAACGCGGTATAACTTTGATTCGGACTCTCATCGTGCTTTGCCCTCTTCGCATTTGAAGAAGGATGGAATCAGCGTTGCGTGAAGGGGTTCATACCGATTTATAATGCCATGCTTGGATCACACAGAAGTATCTAAATTCTGCTCATCCTACGGTAGTTCAGCTTTGCTAAAGTTTTGTGAGATTCCAGGAATGGCTGCCAAGAAATGGCTAGTATATTCCTTGGAGAAATTGCTTGAGAAGTCAACACTCTTTGGTAGTGTTGGAAGAAATATCCATCTGGTTCAGTTCCGAGCTGAGACAAAATGGAGGCTGGAGGTTGATTGGAAAGAAGGTCCATTGATTGATGAAGCAGAACCATCAAGCACATGTGATTTTGGGCAGCTGACCACATGTGAGAGGTTTTTATACTTTCTCTTGGTCTTGGCACTTGAGCTTCCTGTTCCTGTGCAAAAACATGTATTCTATTGGCTGTTGTCAGATTCCCATGAGGCCATGTACAAATCCTAGGAGTTTGTCTGAGCTAAGCTTGGTTGACATTTGGCTGATGCAATGAAGGAGCTTGTTGGGCAATTCCTATTGTGGCTGAGGGCTAATCCTACCTTTGTTCAGACCTGCAGGGAATTTTTGCCTATGAATAGAGCTATCTATCTCTTTATCTCTTTAGTGCTGACAATCATTACATCAGCCAAGCTTCAACCAAGCTCAGCTCAGACAAATTCCTAGGATTTGTACATGGCATCATGGGAGTCTGTCAACTGCCAATTGAATACCTGGTCTTGCACAGGAACAGGAAGCTCAAGTGCAAAGCTCAAGAGAAGGTATAAACCACCACCACCCCACTCTCAACTCCATGTGGATTGTGAAGTTTGGCCTGAGCAAAGCCAAATCAAGGTGGTGGGTTTGAATTCAAGCTGGTGGAAATCCCCAGAGAGCTGCGCTAGAAGTTAGCAACTTTTGAGGAATGTCTTTAGCCCTCCTGAGATATTTTCTGCTTGGATTCCTCTCTTTGCTATGATCTTCCATGGACTGATTCTCTCTCTCTCTTTTTTTTTCTTGCCCAGGTTTACAAGTTGTCCTCAAGTCCATCATGAAGGCTATGGTGCCCCTCCTTCAGATCGGCCTCCTCCTCTTCTTCGCCATCGTGATGTTTGCCATCATCGGTCTGGAATTCTATATGGGAAAGTTTCACAAAGCTTGCTTCTCCAACGAAACAGGTGGGTTTCATGGGAAGACCACTTGAACAAGATAGCTTTTAGGTGGGAGGAAGAGAATAACCAAATACCAGAACAACAGAGTTGTTATCGTATGGCCAAAGGTGGTATTCAGCAGGTACTGACCAGTTCTGGAGAACCCGTAGCAGAAATTTTGAGTAGTTCAGAGAACCGGTAAATACCACCTCTGGCTGGCCGCGCCCCCATCTATTCTCTGCCTCCCGAGTCCCATCTGATCAGGAAGAAATGGGGATTTTGCAGTAACTTACTTTCTTTTTTTAAATTTCCCTGCAGGTGAAAGACTGGGAGATTTCCCGTGTGGTGAAGACTGGCCCGCTAGGCGCTGCGAAGAAGGCATCTGCAAAAAATACTGGGAGGGGCCCAACTTTGGAATCACCAACTTCGACAATATCTTGTTTGCTGTCCTGACCGTCTTCCAGTGCATCACCATGGAAGGATGGACCGATATCCTCTACAACGTAAGTTCTGCTGGCTCCGGATGAGCAAAGGATCTCTAATGAAGCACATACTATGGAAAAGAGTGTTATCTCCTGCCCGTTTCCTGCTTAGGATCTTTCTCAGCTTAATATGTATGATAGGAAAAAGAATATGGCCAGTCTTATCTCTGCAGGGATAGTGGCCTGTTGTTGGCCACCAGCGGAACTGGAAGCAGATTTGGGCAGTGGGGAGGTTGAGGAGGAACCTGGGCCAGTCCTGGAATCTGGGGAAGGCTCTGATGAGGGCTCTGTGTCGGAGACAGAGAGGGGGCCAGGGCCATATGCCAGTTATCAGCTGCCTTCAGAGTCAGACATCAGTGAGGCAGAGGAACAGCTGGAGCCTGTTCTCAGTATGCGCATGCGCAGAGTGGCCAGAAAAAGTGAACAGCTAAAGAATAGGGGTCCACTTGGGAGTAAAACCACAGGTGGATGATGAAGGGCCCCTCCCAGAGGAAATAAAAGAGGAGCGAAGGGGGAGTGGAGTTTGCAGGAGACAATTCGCTTCATTGGTTCGTGACTCTCCAAGACTCCTTGCCTGGCCACTCTCCAAGCCAGATAAGATCTGTGACTGTCAAACATGTGCGAGATAACAGGTATAAGTATAAACATGGACATGAACATAGGAAATGGGTATGAATAAATGGGGACAGTAGGACAGGGATGGAAGGCACGCTGGTGCGTTTATGCACGCCCCTTTTACGAACCTCTTAGGAATGGGGTGAGGTCCATGGTAGACAGTTTAAGGTTGAAGCTGTGGGGGTTAGAGGAAGTAACAACGGAGTCAGGTAGAGCATTCCAGGCGTTGACCACTCTGTTGCTGAAGTCGTATTTTCTGCAACCGAGTTTGGAGCAGTTTACCTTGAGTTTGTATCGATTGTTTGCCTGTGTGTTATTGCGGTTGAAGCTGAAGTAGTCGTTGACAGGTAGGACGTTGTAACAGACAATTTTGTGTTAGTTCCGACCAAAGGCGGCGTAGTTCCAGGTTGTCTTAAGCCCAAAATTTCGAACCTGGTGGTGTAAGGGATCCTATTGTGAGTAGAGGAGTGGAGGACTCTTCTCGTGGAATACCTCTGGACTCGCTCGATAGTATTAATGCCCGATATACAATGTGGATTCCAGGCAGACAAGCTGTATTCGAGGATTGGTCTGGCAAAGGTTTTGTATGCTCTGGTTAGCAGTACAATGTTACCGGAGAAGAAGCTGTGCAAAATATCTACGGGATCTACTTTGCTTTGCGCGAGAATCCACCAACTGGAATATTATTATTTTTCTCCCTCTTTATGCCCGAAGGACTTGCTGGCAGTTCTAGAATTGGAAGGAGAGGACATATTTTTCCAGATCAAAATCCACCCCACTCCGAGTTGCTCTAGGCTTTCTCCATTTCAGATATATAATTTATGGGGGGGGGGGAGGAAGAGAGAGGGAGAGAGCAAGTGAGCTACTGCTGCTGCTATGGTTACATAATTAGGAGTCAAATATCCTTTTCAGATTTACTGGAAAAACACTCACGGAGTTACTTATCGGATCCAGAAACAGCCGTACTATATGATCTGGGGTGGGGGGGGGGGAAGGAGGGTCTTTGGGTTTTTTTCCCCTTCTACTTTATTGCAGTCATTAATCAGGCCAAGATATTTGTGGTGGGAAGGGGAGAAGTTTGCTTTAGAAGCCACTTTGCCAATGGGCTCAATTAAAGAGCTACAGTAGAAAGGAAGGCTGCCGATATGAAGTTTTCTGTTTTTGTTTGAGCGTGCAAATCTCACAGAACCTCAAAGAACAGCGTTGGAAGGGACCTTGGAGGTCTTCTAGTCCAACCCCCAGTTCTAGAAGGGGACCCTATACCATTCGGGACAAATGGTTGTCCAATCTTTTCTTCAAAACTTCCCTTGTTGGGGCATCCACAACTTCTGAAGGCAAGCTATTCCAGTGATTAGAAGAGAAGAGCATAGGGAAGGAATAGAAGAGAAGAGAATAGGGAATGAATAGAAGAGAATAGAGAAGAGAAGAGGGAATGACGAGAATAAAGTAGGGAATGTAGAAGAGAAGAGAAGAGAATAGGGAATGAATAGAAGAGAATAAAATAGGGAATGAATAGAATATAGAGTAGAGTAGAATAGAATAGAACAGAACAGAATAGAAAGTAGAGTAGAATAGAATAGAATAGGGAATGTAGAATAGAATAGAATACAGAATGTAGAAGAGAAGAGAATAGGGAATGAATAGAATATAGAGTAGAGTAGAATAGAACAAAAGAGAAGAGAAAATAGAGTAGAGTATAATAGAATAGAATAAAATAGAACAGGGAATGTAGAATAGAATAGAATAGAATAGAATAGGGAATGTAGAAGAGAAGAGAAGAGGGAATGAATAGAAGAGAATAAAATAGGGAATGAATAGAATATAGAGTAGAGTAGAATAGAATGGAACAGAATAGAATAGAATAGAATAGGGAATGTAGAATAGAATAGAACAGAATAGAGTAGAATAGAATAGAAATAGAATAGAATACGGAATGTAGAAGAGAAGAGGGAATGAATAGAAGAGAATAAAATAGGGAATGAATAGAATAGACCTTGGAGATCTTCTAGTCCAGCCCCCTGCTCAAGCAGGAGACCCCATACCATTTCAGACAAAGGACCAGTTCAGTCTCTTCTTAAAATCTTCCAGGGATGGAGCACCCACAATGTCTGAAGGCAACCTGATCCTCTGCTTAATTGTCCTCACTGTTAGGAAGTTTCTCCTTAATTCCAGGTTGCTTCTCTCCTGGATTGGTTCCCAAGGACTATTTCTTGTCCTGCCCTCTGGTGCTTTGGAGAATAAATTGACCCCTCTTGTTTGAGGCAGACCCTCAAATACTGGAAGACTACTATCATGTCGCTCCTCATTCTTCTTTTCTTTAGACTAGCCCAACCCTAGTCCTGCAGCCATAAAGCGGAAATCAGTTTCAGCTCCGCAGAAGAACGTGCCAAAATGTTGATCCTAATAAATGACTGGATTTCTTTTGAACTTTGTCTCGAGGCTTGTAAATTAATCAGGTCATCTTTTGGAAACTTCACACTTGGTCTTGACGCAGGAAGCCAACTAGGCCACACCCCCATGACCACACCCACCCAGCAACCGGGTAGAGAACCGGTTGCTAAAATTTTCCAATCCCACCCCTGGTTATGCTCAAAAATTAGTGGAGGTTCAGCCATGTTGAAGTCTTTCTTCCTTGGTTTTCATTTGGGAGTGGTGTTTTTCTACCCTTCCCTTTTCTGTTGAAAGCTTTTTACCCGAGTTTTCTCTGTGAAGCGCACATCTTGTGCGAAGGGCAGACAGGTTAATGCATCAAGAATGGTTTGAGAGGAAGAAGCTGTAAAAAAAAAAAACATTTTGCTTTCCCGAAAGACAAAACGAGGCCATGGAGGAGCCTTAAGAAAGGTTTCTGGGTTTGTAAGTCAAACGGCCTGGCAGCGTTGAACAGATGCCCCACGAAATGGCCAGGCATTGTGGGGAGAATGGAAGGACACGTAGCCTTAGACTCTGGCTCTGATGCTCAGATTGGAACAGATTTAAGTAGTGATGGAAGAGAAGGGATGTGGTGGCTCAATGGCTAAGACACTGAGCTTGTCAATCAGAAAGGTCAGCAGTTCGGCAGTTCGAATCCCTAGCGCCATGTAACGGGAGGGAGCTCCCGTTCCTCCTCCCAGCTTCTGCCAACCTAGCAGTTCAAAAGCATGTAAAAAATTTAAATAGAAAAATAGGAACCACCTTTGTTGGGAAGGGAACAGAATTCCATGCGCCTTTGGGGTTGAGTCATGGGGTTGAGTTTTCTTGCAGATGTCTCATTACAGAGGTGGGTTCCTACCAGTTCGCACCTATTCGGTAGAACCAGTTCATCAAATCTACTGAACCGGTTAGAAGAGGTTCCACCAGTGGACACGGAAAGCAGGCCATACCTACAGAAGAGGTTCCAAAAAAGTTTGAAACCCACCACTGTCTCATTACCTAACTAAGTAACATCATCAGTGCTAGAAAGGAGTTGGGGTTGTGGGGTGGGGAGGAGGAGGAGGAGAGCTGTGGGTCCTTGAGCTTGGTGGTTTTCGTGCAGGTGTTTTATTCCCCATCTAAGTAACATCATCCGTTCCAGAAGGGTGCTATGGGTGTGGAGGAGGAGGACGAGGAGGACAACTGTCAGGTCCTTGGTGCTCTCTGAGCTTGATGGTTTTCATGCGGATGTTTCATTGCCCAACTAGGTAACATCATGTGCTCCATTCAGCACTGATATTGCTACCTAGTTGGGCAATAAAACGTCCACAACAAAACCACCAAGCTCAGAGAGCACCAAGAACCCCACAAAGATTTAAGTATTAGGAGGGTGGAAATTGGATCTTGGTTTGTTAAGTCTACTTCAACTTGAAAGGTTCCGAGATATTTAGGGGAAGATGCTGATTTATAACAGACTAAAACACCTTTCCAAATTTGCTGACCTTCCTTTCTGGCTTAATTCATTTCCATGAACGAGGAAGGCTTGCAGATTATCTCCCCGAGTCTTGGCTTCGTTGGCTCTGTTTATTTTTTTGGGAGAGGGCAATCATTAATCTTGTTTGGAATCTCCTGACATTTAAAGAGTGGTGGTAGACAAATAAGTTACTCTTTAACTCCGTTACTAATATTTGTATTTGTAAGGGGGAGAGAGAGGGCGGGTTTTTCAGGAAATTTCATTATGAAACAAAATAATTATCCCTCCTTTCTTTCTCTCTCCCCCCCCCCCCATCCTATTGCTCATTTTTTTTGACCCCTGTTGAGTAATCTAGAATAAACGCCATCGTTCCCACTCGGCAAGTAGATATTCATGTGTAAATACAGTGCTGAATGGAACTAGATAATACGCTGTCAAAATGTTCTATTAACGGGCTCCTATTTTCTAAAAGCATTTTTTTAAATTTACTGTTCTAAAGAGCTGCAGGAGGCTTTTGTTATTTGTTGGTTAAAAGTTTGCTTTG